TCCCACTATCATGCTTACCCTCCATTCGGCTCTCAGTAATTCCTCTTGGATACATTGCACTTGATCAAACCCCACCAGGCATTATATTCCCTCCTCACCCTCAATTTTAGACCTCTTGTTGTTCCCTTATACCTGAATTTGTTGGCTCCCTACTCCCCCTCCCTGCCCCCTCATCCCCATGTCCCCCTGGGAACACCAGTCCTGTTTGTCCTGCCTCACTTATATAGATAGACATAGGGTCAAAGGAAAAAACAAACAAACCCAATAGTCCCACGTCTGTCTGCTGACCCTGAAGAGTGTTTTCCCCTCAGGTGTGATGAGGTGCCAAGCCCAGTCCCGAGTCAGAAGTCTATCGTCAGGATTCCTCGGGGACTTGGTTGCTTTGCTCCCCTTGTTGCCCCGTTGCACTCCCTTCGTGTTGCACCCGCTGTGCGTGGAGCAGCCTGGGCGCACTTTCTGCACAGTGTCTCCAGTGCTGTTCCCCACAGCACTATGGGTCAGGGAGGGAATGTTGTGTCTTGTGGTGGCGTCAGCCTTAAGGTCCTTTCTGTGCACTGGCTGCTCTGAGCAGAGATGTCATCCCCGGGGCTTGGTGGGGCATGATGAGGCTCTCTCCTCTCTCTCTCTGTCTCTCTTAGTTCGTACCTGTGTGGTCTGGACAGACACACCACTCTCCCTGGGCTATATCTCAGCGTTGTCCTCTGTTACATTCTTCTGGGGAGGAAACGTTGAATGTTTTTTCATTGTTTGAAAATACTGTCGTTTTCTTGAAATGATGGGCTATCCCAGTTATTTTTCAGAAAATGACAGATACATACCTAAATCTGAGTAACCATATTTTGTCTTTCAGTCATACTTGCAAGTACAATGGTTTCCCATGAAAGGAGTTGTCAAATGAAAATAGATCCATGACTATGGTGGGGCGGACAGGAGACAAATTGGGGGTATTTCTTAGAACCAAACTTTTCAGGGAATGAGTCCCTGGGGTCAGGGGAACAGGACCTTACTTTCAGAGCACACTAACATCTATTAGCATAACACAGTTCACAAAGACAATGTTCTACATCCTACTTGGTTGAATAACAGCTCGGGCCTTAAAAGCTCATAAGCAGCCGTCTAAGGTGGAACCATAGGTCTCTCCCCATTCAGAGGAAAAAAGAGTGAGTGAAGAAAATTGAAAGACACAGGGAAGCAATTTGTGCAGTGGACTGACGAATGGACCATATAAGCATCAGTTTCAACAACCTTGAGACAAGAAGAACTAGACGATGCCTGGCTCCCAGTAAAACTGCTCTGAAAGGTTAAGAAGGTTACTGGATCAAGTGGAGAAAAATGTGAAACAGAACTCTAAAATCATAAAAGAGCTAGAATTACTGGTTGGGTAGAGACAGGTGGGACCTTTGGGACTATGGCCCTTACTCACTCCTTAGATCTGGAAAAAAAAAATCACTTCTGTGGTAGACTAACCAGCTATTTTAGATAAAAAAGGCAGCATTTTCCAAGATAAAGTTCAAAGGATTAGGGAAAAATGAGGAATGAAAGCAATACACACAGAGAGGAAATGAGCTAAGTGATGGTACATTGAGAGACTGGCAATGATGAGTGGAAACAAAATGTGTCCACAGTGTTGCATGGGAAATTGATGATCTGCTCTGAAAGCCATTACTAATTAAAAAAGGAAAAAGCAAAAAAACCACCAAAAACCTCCTAGCTGCTGCAGGAGAGCCGTGGGTCAGGCGGCCAAGGTTTTACAGCTCTTCAAACCATTGCACAGGACCAGATAACAACTTTTTAAAATGATGTCAGAGCACTAGCAGCAGCCAGAAAAAGATAAATGAAGAATTCAAAAATAATAAAAGTGAGACATCACCTAAGAAAATAGAAGAGCTAATGAAAATAGGGCCCGATGTTGAATTGTTACTCAGAAAGTCTGTTACACAAGGTATTCACACAGACCACAATACACTGAAAATGGTTCCTAGAGAAGAGTTCTTGTAGAAAATGTGCCCTACTGTGATTCGCCAACGCAAAAACAGTGACTCTCCTAGGATGGGGGCAAGCAGTTGTACTGTGTAATTTAGAAATATAGAACATTGGAAAAGTCCTGGAAATGTAGATCTTCTTCTCTGAACTGGCAGGTTGAAAATGAGTAAAGAATAATAACATCATACATCAATTTCAGGCTCAATGGGCCCTGACAATGCAGAACACCGTTAAGTGTTTCCAATGGGCATTAGATAAGCAAAGACTCCATTTACCCTTAAAATCAAACTTTATAAGGTGAAATAAGTATGTCACATTCACACTTCTTTTACCCTGATTGCAGTGTTTTAACCAGTTGGTAGGTTTCCCTCCTGGGTAACAAGAGAAATTAAATTGGTCAAAGAAATGAAAAAAACAAAACAAAACAAAACAAAAAAACCCTCCTAGTTTGCTTTGTCACATCACACAAGTGCTTTTCCCCAAAGATAATCAAGGTACTTGAGAATGCAGTAGGAATACTTTATGTGTAATTAAGACTCAAGAGGGAATATTAAAAATAAGTGTACTCACAGATCAAAATGTAATAAAATTAGTCTTATTTACTACTTTACTGAGGCTGTTTTTCAAAGTGAAACTGTTTTGTTATTTCATTTCAAGCATTTGGAAGAGAAGGATACAAGGATAGCTAGATAGTTTGTTGCCCTCCCTTGATTCATGTAAAGGTGAGGCAAGCAATTTTTAAGAGGCAAGCACTTTTAACAGTGATGGATATTGTTGCATCCTTGGAAATGTTGTGAGATAAAAAAAGTTGTTTACTGTTCTGGATATTTCCACGATATGTTTGTTGCCAAACATTCATAAAAAAGATCTTATGCGATGGTGAGTTGTTGCCAGCAAAACAGCAAGTCTGTAGATTTAATATCCTTTTAAAAAACCATTAATTCATTCTTAAGTATAGAAAACATACAGATTCTTTTATTTTTGTGAAAAAATTAAATTATTAAAAATGTTCTAAAATTTTTCATTTAAAAATTTTATATAAAATTTACATAACACTCAATGCACTATCATGTTTCTTCTCAAAAATACTTCTTAAGTATGAGTTGAGAAACTTACTAAAATATCCTTTTTTTTAAAAAAAATCCTTATTTTAATATTAAACATTAAACAAATTTAAACCATGATTCCAAAACAAAGCAATAAATAGCTCTCACATTTTTTTTTGCAGATTCAATGAAAACTTGCAGATTTCAAAATAATTAAGTAGGTGATAATGATAAGGTCATAGAAACTGCAGCAGATATGACTGAATAAAGATGGATAGTAAGATGACGGTAGAGAACAAATTTAGTTCATGTCTGAAAATTTAGAATCCAATCCTGCTATCTCCGAAAATTCTAAAAAACACAAGAAAACAAAAGCACACACTCTTTGAAGCACTAGTGTGACGTTGTTCTCACGTGCTGTGCAGTCAGTCCAACTCCAAACTCCCAGGTACAACAGAAGGAAACACTGTCTGGTCCTGTGCCATCCTTGCAGGTATTATATTTGAGCTTATTGTTACAGCCATTGTGTCAATCCACCTTGTTTAAGGTCATCCATCTTCTTTTTTTGCTGACCCTCTACTGTACCAAGCATGATGTCCACGTCTAAGAACGAGTCCCTCCTGAGAATATGTCCAAAGTAGTACCTGGAAACTCCACTGTACATTATGTGAACTGGCCTCAACAAGGTGGCAGTTTTCCTTAAATTTTTTATTACTAGTGATTATAAATATTATGTTTATTTGCTATCCAATATCTTCTTTTATGAAGTTCCTGTTCCAATCTCTTGTCCATTTTTCTATTGGCATGACTTTTCTTGATTTGTAGAGGTTCTCAATTATATTCAGTGGCTCCTAAAGTATCCCTAATGGTGATACCACCCCCTAGGGGGCGCTGGAAGGATCCAGGTGGGGCTGCAAAAGCAGATACCTACACTTTATCCTGGGTTATGAATATACAGTACAAAGGTTTTTCATGGTAGTGTTTGTGGGGGAGGGAGCGGGGAGCCATAGGAGATGCTGAGTAATTTCTTTTTCTTCTGAAAAGGAGACCATAGGTCAAATAAGTTTGAGAACCTCGCTAGATACATGCACTTTATCAGTGCACTGTGTTGCACTCCCACTCTTTGGCTTAACTTTCTAGTGTTGATCAACACTTTTAATTGGACATTAATCTAATTCATCAACCTTTCTTTTTCCGTGGGTTGTCTTTTTTTGTGTGACCATTTAACATTTTTTTTCTCATGTTAAGATCAGAAGTAATAATAATTTTAACAGCAATTATATAGTTGTAGATAGTGCTATCACATATAGTATGTTTCCATCTGACTGTAAGCCCCATACCAGAAGCATGGTATTCTATGTGAATAACATCCCTAGTGCTGCCTTTTCCTCTAGATGAGGACAAATAATTAATTGGCTGAATAAATAAGGCAATGGGTGAAAATTATTTGGGCTGTGGTAGAGAGGCAGAAAAGGAAATTTTCCTGGTTTATATAAACCCGAAAGGAAAGAAAAAGAGGATATTTTGTAATAATATTAAATAATAATAAAAAGTACATCAGAAAGTTGTTAAACAGTTATACTTGGGGACATTACACAGAAGTCTATAGAGAAGCTGATATAGGACAAATTCTGAATGCACTGTCATGCTTCTTCCCAAAAATATTTCTTAAGCATGTTTTAATATTAAACAAATGAGGTCTTAAAGGATTCATTATTAAAACAGAAAGGGAGGAAAGAAGGTAGGCAGGCAGGCTGACAGGCAGTCAAGTCAGGCAAGAGCAAAAATGATTTCTTTCCCAGGATCCTTTCTTATGTTTCCAAAAGCCGTGATGTAAAGGGTATAACTACTAGCTGGTAGTGTAGTGGTTGTACCAGTTGGGCTGCAATCTCATGGTCGGCAGTTCAAAACCACCAGCAGATCCACGAGAGGCAGACTGGGCTTTCTCCTCCTGTAAACAGTTCCAGTCTCGGAAACACACAGAGGGTCACTATGAGTCAGCATTGGGAAAATATGGATGGTCCCTGATGGCATAATGGTTATGCATTGGGTTGCTGACTGCAATGTCAACAGTTTAAAATCACCAGGTGCTCCTTGAGTCAAAGACCAGGCCTTCTACTCCCTAAAACGTTACAGTTACTGTCCCTGTCCTACAGGGCTGCTGTGAGTCAGAATTGACTCAGTGGCAGTGAGGGTTTGATTTTGGTTTGGTACAATGGGATAATAGTGATTAATGCTCAGAGTTGTGGTGAATATCAAATAGAATTGGTTGGCAGATTACCTTGCAAAAACTAGGCACCAATAATTCTTTTTAAAAAAATACTTTTTTGGAGGCTCTTACATCTCTTATCACAATCCACACATTCGTCCTGTGTTTCAAACACATTTGCACATATGCTGCCATCATCATTTTCAAAGCACTGTCCTCCCACTTGAGCCCCTGATATCAGCTCCCCATTTCTTCCCCCTCCTCTCCCACTCTCCCTCCCTTGGTAAGTTATAGATTATTATTTCCATATCTTACATCATCCTCCATTGCCCCTCACCCACTTTTCCGTTGTTTGTCCCCCTGGGAGGGGGTTATAGATTGATCCTTGTGACACCAATAATTATTTCCTAAGAAATACAGGGTTTTTCACTTTCAGTCTTGGAAACTGGTAGTTACATAATCTCATGTCAATTTGCGAAGGGGTGGAGTCTAGTCTGTCAATCAGGTCGCAGTTTGATGACCTCATTTCGAGGAGCTAAGGAGATAAATAGCTCACTGGAAGCCAGATACACTCACTCTCTGCTTCGTCTTCCTGCTGACAAGACACATTGGAGCTGTGCTGATAGAGCCAGAGCCTTGGAACTGGAGGAGCCATGTGGAGACCCTCTCCAGCCCTAAGATCCTTCCACCTCCACTGGATCCAAAAGACTTTCCACCCACAGGCCCGTGATCTTCCTACATTCGGCGTCATTGCATATGTTGTATGAGTCTGAAGAGGAAATTGTAGATTGGTAGCAGACATATGGGCTAATATAAGATTTATGGACTTGATCTGGAATGGGCTGGGTTGTTTTCTTAATATACAATTACTCTTTGATATAAAGTTCTCTATTATATACGTGAGTGTCTATGAATTTGTTTCTCTAGTCAACCTGGACTGACACAGAAACCCACAGGAGCAGTTCTACCCTCTCTTATAGGATGGCTTTGATTCAGGCGCAACTTCTTTTTAAAGAAGTATTTCAGTACTCATGAGTGTCAGACAATTACTGCATGCTGCCTAATCCTTCCTATTTGTAAAACATGTGAAATCGAGTCTATCTACTCACTCCTGCCATTGAGTTGATTCTGACTCATAGCAACCCCATAGGACAAGGGCAGTAGTAGTGCCCCTGTGGGTTTCTGAGACTGTAACCTTTACAGGTGTAGACAGCCTCATCTTTCTCCCTCAGAGTAGCTGGTTGTTTTAAATTGTTGGCTTTATATGCCTAGTAACTTATTGAGAAATATTTCTGATGGTGTGAGTTGTGACCATGCCACTAGAATTGATGAATTTTTTTGTGCACATTGAGGTCTGATCTGTATTTGGAAGACAGGCAGACATTTAGGAGTTAATGCTGCTGTGAATATTTCACAAGCTTACCTATAGCAGATATCTACTACTCTCATCTCTGTGTTCCATAAAGGCACACCAAAGCTTGAAGAGGAAAAAGAGACTTTAAAAACTTGTGTGGAATCTCTATTGCCTGTAGAATAGTTAGCTTGCTGACCACAAAAATAAAAGTACGCTTGTAGTCTGACAACTTCTTTTCAATTTTCCTGCTTTCTCCTACTCTT